CTGAAGTTTCTGTTTAACAACTACATAAAATTCATACAACCCTTTAATGAACCCAAAAAACAAAAACAAATCCCCATAAAATTCATACAACAAAAAAATGTGTTACAAGACATATATACTGCTATGACAAAATCCTGCAAACCAAATAACATTTTTCTTCACTTAGATGCTTTGGTACGATATTACCTCTGCAATGTTCAGCAAGAAGTGGTTTCTTCCAACAAACTGCACAACTGCTCTACACTGGGGACAAAGTACACTTGTACGCTTCTCTTGGGATCTTTTTAACCACTCCGAGAAGCATCCATTGCTGTAGACCAATTACAATTCAATGAAAACACCTAAATTAAAAGGTGAATAACCAGCTAGAAACAAATAAATATCCCTACCAAAAGTTGTGAAAGCAAGGAGCAGCTGTGACAACATCATGCCAAATGTTTAAGCAAATACTGCATTTTGTGTGTTCAACATCCATAGAAATCTGGACAAATTCAACAGATGCTAAAATTGAGTATTTCTAAAACAATGGTGAAAGCTAATATCACATTTAGATAATCGAAACATGACAATTAACCAATCACCTTTAAGCCCTTGCATACTTTTGAGTCTGACAAAATTTCAAATTTATAGCTCAAATGCCCTGAAGATTAAAATTGAATAGTTCCATAAAGATTAAGATAGAATAGTTCAACAAAGAAAAAGCTTTTACCTGAGATAGTTCTCCATTTTCAATCAAACCACAAAGAAAATATATTTGTGCAGTTACATTTTGTATTTATCTATGGGAATATTTGAATAAAAAAAAAATCTAAAAAATATTCAAAGTAAAAATTCTAAAAAATATTCAAAGTCAAACCAAAGGTGAGGATAATATATTCTCCAATTGGCTTAAATAACAAGAGATAGTAAGTTTAATATAAAAAAACAAAAGAAGAAGTTTTGTTAAGTCAATGAGCCCAAGAAAAATCAATATAGTGACTTGGCTTGTGAAGTTAAAAAACGACTTAATATTAAAACAATCAGCTTGCAGTCTTTGCCTTTCAGCTGTAGAAGACCAATCTCATCTATTCTTCCATTATACTTATGTGGTAAAGCTAAGTTCCCAATGGATCAGTGTGTTGTAAAGCTAAGGTATCTTTTTAAAGTGGAAACTTAGGAAATTTATTGATAAATGCAAAGCTATGTATGAGAGAAACGTATTTCTTGTTTCTTGTGTGATGTGAAAGACTCAAATTTATACAAAACGATTATCAAACATATTTGCTAGAATGCTTCTCAATTTTTGAGTGATGTGAAAGATAAACTTAGATAGATCAATTATCAATCATATATGCTAGCATTAAGCTATCAATCTAGACCTATATGAAAAGAAATAAAAAAGTACAAATATACAAGGAAAAATGTTAGCAAACACGAGTTATGCACATTAAATACTAACACGGTAAACAATATACTAACATGACAAACAATTAACTTTCAAATAACAAATTAGTGAGAACTTTCATCCTGTTATATTTCAATAAATTGAAAACAAATAATTCTAATTCATCCATCACGTTAAACTTTCTCTTTCACACAAGAGTTTGAAAAAATACTAACCATCTTGGACCGGACCAGAAACAATTTCGCTTCCACACTTGATGAAAGCAATGTCATCCTTTTGAACAAGAGTCTCATCAACAAGAATAGCATTGAAACTATAGCACCCAAAACACAATAGATAAAACATACGGCAAGAGAAAAGGAGAGACAAAGAGAGGGAGATCGTAAAGACAATAAATATTTTTTCAAACATCACTATACAACAACTCCAAGAAACAAGAAAATAAATATCCATATATACATATAAAAAAAAAAGAAAAAACATTAAAAAACATATAAAAACAAACTTTGATACTAAACGTAACATAAAAACTTTCGGCTAAATTATTTTAAATCTCATGATCTTACTACCCCTACAATCCTTGACATCACTGAAAAATCATGAACTTTAAGCCGTTCTCTACACCAAACTTTGATATAAAAGCTCCACGAGAGTCTCTAATGGTAAAAGTGGAGATCTTTCTTAAGATTTACCATTATATAAAAAATCTTAAAATACCTACACCAAACTGTATGGAGGCTCTGATTTATGGGATAAGAATATAATTTGATTTTAGTACTAATTACTTCGTAGCCACAACATATTACCTTCTATTCTGCAAAGTGATAGAGTTTACATCGGAATTCCTTGTGATTTTGCACCATTCATACTTATCAACAGATGAGGACTTTGTCTCTGAGAAGATAACAGCCTCATCCGAGTTTATCTCAATATCTGCGTATTTTTTATCAAGTGAAACTGGAAAAGAATAAAATAAAATAGCAAATTAATTTCCAAAAACAATGCCAATTTAGATTGCAATAGTTTTTTTTTTTTTTTTTTTTTTAAATTAAAAGATTGCAATAAATATAGCTTTCGAGTACTTTCTCCTCTTGTTTGCATTGTATGCCATGAAAGACTTAATAACCATTCTGCTTGCCAACATCTAATATGTAATTTTTCATTTTGTCAATGAAAGTTTTGTGTCTCCTTTCAAAAAAGATTGAAATTGTATATTACCTGCCCAACATAAAAATTTGAAAGAAGTGTTTCTTAAAAAGAAATCATCTAAGAGATGACAAAAATGTTCGAGAATGATATCTTCAATCCATCAAGTTTCTTTCATGCAAATCCATGATCAAGTGACTAAAAAGAGAAATCTACAAGAATCAAGTCTAGAATTTTTATTAGAATGAAAGTTGTGAAGAATATATCTCTATTTACAGAGAATTAAAAGCAATAATTTCCATGAGGTATGGGAACGTCTTGAGACAATGTCAAAAGTAATAATTTCCATAAATTCAGAGAGGTTACATAGACTTTGAGCACTTTATTCGTTTTTTGGTAGCTAGATAGTGTTCCTTGCAGGTATGATCTTGTAACAATTTTATGATCGTTTAATTGGGGAGAAAGGTTCACTCTCATCTTCCTCTTGTATATCTCCACCAAAATAGTAATTCCTTAATTCTTATACTGTCTACCGATAGAAAAATTAGTGAGACAATTAGCTTGATATCTGTAACTCATACTGCTAACAATTCATGAAATCGATGTAAATCAGATACAAATAAATCATCGACCTTCAAAAACGCTAAACTTAGTTCATTTGCTCGATCCACCAAAAATCATTTCCTCAATTACATTGTCTTCCCCAATAATTTCAACCCAAAAGAACATTTATTTGGAAAAGCAACAAATTTTGCTTGCAAAAAATGGAACGATTATGTTTTAAAAACTGTCCAACTCTCAAGCGCTGAGCACAAGAAAATCAAACAGAGAATCCAATAATGCAACACGGAACAGGCATCGGATCAGTCCAACAAAAGAGATACCGAGAAGAACAAAGTGAGAGGGGGAAACATACTTAGCTTCGCCCAGTTTTGTATGGAGGAATTTGAAGCAGAGCACTCTCCAACTTCCGCCATAACCGCAAGTATGTGAAGGAGAAGGGAATCGACTGGTGCTGGTTCTGGGAATTTTGAAATGAAACCATTAACGAATAAATACAGACGCAGAAGCGTTGAAGCGTGCGGAAGAAGGAGTAAACGGCTGATGACTACGACGTGGAGGCATTTATTTGTAGCATACTAAATTATAAAAAATAATCAACTTTATATATTCTTTTCAATAAAATAAAATAAAATAAAAAATATAACATTAATACCCTTAATATTTAAAAAAAATATTTCAATTTATTTACACCTCATAAATCATCTTTCTAATTTATTGGGTTGATTCTCTGGAATATTCTTTTAGTCTCGTTAAAATACGAACCTAAACACTTTCATTTTCGGGTCATTTCGATCTTCCATAGGTGTTACCATTGACACTTTTTACCTGTTTTAGACCAGAGTCATTAACTCGTTCAAAAAAGTTGCTTTCTCGTTTTAATATTATACCAAATCCAAAAAAGATTGTTCTAAGCATAAAATAATGAAAAAAAAAAAAAACATGTACTCGTATCTACAAGACCTCACAACTTCAACCCTCTCGAGCAAGACCTTAACAGAGACACTTTAAATTATTATGTGAAAAAAAACTAAGTTTCTTTCAATATTTTTCAACAAAACTGTAAGGAACGTTCAAATTTGATGAATTTTTCAACAAAACTTTTATGTTAAAGTGTACAATATTGTTCATTGCTTCTAACATGATATCAGAGTCATGCTCTTAACTCAACCATATCGATGTCAATTTTTGCTATATAGTTCAATTTCCCTTGAATCATAGCCTAATGGATCTATTAGGTTAAGAGAAATAGAATTGGATAGAAAACATATCTTTGTTTACCACGTTTAAATAAGATACAAAGTATCTATTAATATCCAAAAATAGGAAAAATATATAACTAACTAAATCTTCTAAATAAATAAAATATATGTTAATCAAATCTAAAATAAAATATACTGCTAAATACAAACTATAAAAATATATAACTAACTAAATCTTTTAAATAAATAAAATATACGTTAATCAAATCTAAAATAAAATATATTACTAGCAACTCCTAAAAATTTCAGATATGCTCTTAACTAATATCTTAATACGATATTGTAAGAGTCCAAATATTATATCTTAATACGATATTGTAAGAGCCTAAGCCCAGCCCAAACCCACCGCTAGCAGATATTATTCTTTAAAACGTGTCTGCTACGGAGAAGTTTCTACACCTTTATAAAAAATGTTTCGTTCTTCTCCCCAATCAACATGGGATCTCGCAGATCGATCGAGAGAGTTTAAAGATCAAAATCTCCAAAAACCCAAAAACTTAGAAGAACAAAAGTCGTCGAAGACCAAAATCTTCTCTGAAAGCTCGAAAACTTCGAAAACAAGTCGTTATCTGAAGTGAAACTAAACGAGTCGAACTCAAAATCAAACCCCATAAGCAATCGAACGACCCAATCGAACCCAAATCATGAACAGCATAAACATGATTTCATAAACTTTGAGCAAACATTATACATTTACAGTGGAAACAATTTCACAAAATCATATTCCCCATGAGGAGAAACCTGGTAACATTCATACAAATTCATCTCTCATTCTTTTAAACAAAGAAATCAACAAAAAAAAAAATTAAAAAAATCCCCACTCAAATCTTAGCAATGGAACATAATAAACAACCTTAAGAAGCACCAGCTCCTGATGTTCCTGAAGACTCAGCCACATCTTCCAGCTTCAATGTTATAGCAACTTCCTCGACCGTTTTGCCTCGATCCGACGACCCATCGACCGCCCTGCTCAGTCTCTTCAACCATATGTCGTAGTCGACTGTGTACGGCGTTCCACAAAGGCTATCAACATAATCAGCAAATGCCTTCAACAAGGCTGACGCCTCGCCCAGCTGCTGCTGAATGATCCGTTTCGCCCAGCTTGTTTCCCTCCATTGCAATGCCGATTCGATGGAGTCTTGTTGCTCCATCGATCCACCGCAAATGTAATAGAGGAGATAAATGACGCTCTCAGCGTCCGATGATGGACAAAGTTTCCCATGCTGGAGAGCATGAGAGGATGAGAATTGTAAGTTCACAGCCGGGCTGTCACGGTCTTCCAAAACGGCACGTCCCCACGATATCGGAATGTATAAGTAACCGTTTCTTGATTCTTGCACGTCGACAACACGTATGATATTCTCAGGGCAGATATCACCATGCTGGACACTAGCTAGAGATGCACTTCTTAGAGCAGCTAGACAGTCCCGGCAACAACGAATCGCCTCTTCGGAAGATAACGAGCCATCCCGAGCAACTATAGATGAAAGCTGCTCACCAACCGGTGATGTCAAAAGCACCGGTGTCCCGCACCAGGGGTGATCACATCGTCCCCCCACGGTCTGCTTCTTACACGGACCAGAATGTAGGATTCGGCCCGAGGCAATGATTTCAGGTAAGCATCTGCTTGAAATGCCTTGTAACTTGAAGATGTTCAGTACTTTTGTTTGTCTCTGTACTTGATACCAAAGACTCATATCCTCCCAAGATGGCTCGAGCTTCGACACGTGAGCGCCAACGTAAAGCGTCAACAACTCAGCAGGATAATCAACAGAAACAGCAGTGTATAAAGAACAGTTATTAACACCAACCAAGGATCCCTGCACCTCGAAGCTTTTTCGCCCTTGTCTTTGATCATCAACAACGAGTATTTCCCCGGGACGAAGCTTCAAACGCAATGCTTGGTTCTTGTACACATCATTATCCATCTGCTCGAGTTCAACGATCTCTCCAGGATGATCATTAAACTGTTCAAAAGGAACTATTGTATTTTCATTCTCCGACACTCGACACTCGATCCAACGCTTCTGTAAACGCAAACCATGGTCTGATGCTAAAGACGTAATCGAGTGTCTTGGCAGACCATGCCACTGGACTACAGAGTAGAAAGTTGCCAATAAGATTTGTAAAGTTCCCAAGTCTCCCCAGTTTACATTTCCAAGTTTGTTCCATATACGGTCGACCGGTGAAACGCATACTTCAGCATAGTTTCTCATCCATTCCACTGCTGATTGGTACGGGTTAGCCGAGTTAATGTCGAGCCTGCTAAGATCTCCGCCGAGTTTTACTACGCCACCATATTTTGAATCTAATATCAAAACGAAAACAGAATCATAGTTCTTGACAGTACCAATTTTGCTTAAACTCCTAGAAATAAGTAAATGTAAGCCATAGAAGAGAGCTTCACAAACAACACGACCCGACAACCTCAACCCGTCTTCTGATAGTACATTAGCCTTGAATAAAGCAAACTGCACGACTTGATCCCAACGTACTTGTAGCTCGTCTCCAACTCTAGAAATCAAGCCTAAGCCTAGTAACTCTCCCACCTTTCCCCTTGATATCGCCTTTTCAACGGTATAGAATTTCGATCCTAAGTGACGAGGGCAGGATACAAAGAAAGGTAACGGTCTGCTCTTATGCCAAAACGTACGCCATAAACCATTGATAATAGCATGAAAGAAGTCTTCAAGTGCAAGAAACTCATCTTCGATTAGATCATCGGAGAACGGTGAACATGGCATACGAAACAGTTGCTGAAACAAAACTCCTTCTAGTGCTAAATCGAGCTCGTGAATTTCGTCGATCGGAAATGGCGATGGAAAATTTGGTTCCTCATCCGCAGAACGGGATGAAGTATTCTCCACGACCCAATCCTCAAGACTCTGATTAAAGATATCAAAATCAATGAGTTTTCTTTTAAAGTCCTTCAGCACTTTATATACTCTTCTTGAAACAGGAACAAATTTGCCTGATGAGGCAGTGGCAGACGGACTACGCCCTGATTGAGCTGCAATGAAGATGACCGTTGTGTTATATGAATCAGTTAACGATCGCTAATAGTAGGAACTAATTTTAAGATTTATTGAATGTACGGTAACTGAGACCAAAGTAATACACATCGAGTAGTATAGGGACAAAAATGGAATTTTAACCGAGGAGTACAAACCCGAGTGTGATTTTCGAAAACTTCCATCCAAGCTTTGAGCTGGAGACAAGTCTGTACCATTTTGAAGAAAACCTGTAGCATATTGATGTAAGCGTTGTGAGGATAAGAATGTAATTGAAGCATCATTTAGTTGCATATCCAATTATCCCCACACTATTCTTTATTCATAAGTGCCCTTATGGAAGTCGATCTATTCCCTAAAGTTTATTGTCCCTAAAGTCAATCTATTCCAAAGTGCCCTTGTGGAAGTCAATCTATTCCCCAGGGAGAGGAGAACGAAACACCCTTTATAAGGGTGTGGAAACCTTTCCTAGTAGACGCGTTTTAAAGCCTTGAGGGGAAGCCCGAAAGGAAAGCCCAAAGAGGACAATATTTGCTAGCCATGGGCTTGGGCTGTTACAGGTATGGAGAATAGGAGATTGGTTAAAGAGGTCATTGCATAGGAAAACCTCGACATCGTCATTCTTGTTAAATCCAAACATGGTTAAAGGGACCTTTTCAGTGTGAGTTTCCTTAAGCTTCCAGGTGTCGAAGGGTGGATGTCTAGGGTTTACCGGCCTCCCAAACAAAGAGGGAGGAAGTTGTTCTGGGACGAGTTGGGTGGGTTGTTTAGCTTATGTGGTCTCTGTTGGTGTCTGGTGCACAACCACACTATGAAAAGAGTAGGTAGTGACCCTTACGTTACAATAAGCAAAACGACGACCCTCAAGTGGCACCCATCTAACCACACAAGCGCTTAGACGAGTGTCATAATGCGACCGGGAGAACGATGCATCATCCAACACACTACACAGAGTGGACATTGAGGAGAAGACGAGGCATAAGCAAGATAGCCTAGCCACACTAGGGCCTAGACGAGTGTCATGATGCAACTGGGGAGAATAGTGCATCATCCAACGCACCACACAGAGTGGACATTGAGGAGAAGACGAGGCATAAGCAAGATAGCCTAGCCACACTAAGGCCTAGACGAGTGCCATGATGCAACCGGGGAGAATAGTGCACCATCCAACACACCACACAGAGTGGTCATTGAGGAGAAAACGACGCATAAGCAAGATAGCCTAGCCACACTAGGGCTTAGACGAGTGTCATTATGCAATCGGGGAGAATAGTGCATCATCCCACACACCACACAGAGTGGACATTGAGGAGAAGACGAGGCATAAGCAAGATAGCCTAGCCACACTAGGGCCTAGACGAGTGTCATGATGCAACCAAGGAGAACAGTGCATCATCCAACACACCACACAGAGTGGACATTGAGGAAAAGACGAGGCATAAGCAAGATAGTCCCTAGAGTTGTGCTTGTGCTCGAGCAGCCTAGCACAATTTTTTTGAGTCGTAAGGAGGCATTTAAGGAGTTTTTCCTTCATCTACCCTTCAAAGATGGGGCGTGTGCTATTTTGTGGGGACTTTAGGATGAGAGTCTTTTCGGATATGTTCGGTTTCTTGTAACCATTCGCTAGGTCTTATTACTCTTGACTCGAGCCCTTTCTTGTAGTGTGCCTCAACATTATTTGAGACTATATTTATTGAGAATATCAAAATAAATAAATAAATAAAAAGCAATGGTTACCAGATATGAACTTTCTAAAACTTCCATCCAAACTTTGCACGGGAGATGAGTCCAAATCACCTTGCTCTACACCTGGAAGTGAAAGAGAGAACTTCCAATCAAATCAAGAACAAAAAACAGCTACAAGAGAAGTTGTATGATGGCAAAACAAGCAAAGGAAAAAGTGGCAAACTTCAAGTGAACTTGTGAACTTCTTTAGAAATAATAATAATAATTGAAGGTTTTTTTAGACTCGTGATATACCCGGACTCTCAGAGACACAAAGATCAAAGCTTCCAAGTCATGGGCAACGGAAGGACTGTTGAGGATTGTTGGGAGGGAGTACCACATTGGCTAATTAAGGGGATGATCATGAGTTTATAAGTAGGGAATACATCTCCGTTGGTATGAGGCCTTTTGGAGAAACCAAAAGCAAAGCCACGAGAGCTTATGCTCAAAGTGGACATTATCATACCATTATGGAGAGTCGTCTTTTCTAACACATGGTATCAGAGCCATGCCCTTAACTTAGTCATGTCAATAGAATCATCAAGTGTCGAACAAAGAAATTGCTAGCCTCGAAGGTGTAGTCAAGTGTCAAATAAAGGGTGTACTTTGTTCGAGTGCTCCAGAGAAAGGAGTCAAGCCTCAATCAAGGGGAGGCTATTCAACGGGTTGATTATGGGTTTGTAAGCAAGGAATACATCTCCATTGGTACAAGGTCTTTTGGGGAAACCAAAAGCAATGTTACGATAGCTTATACTCAAAGTGGATAATATCAAACCATGGTGGATAGTCATGGTTCCTAACAAGAACAAGTGATTTGATATTCTGAGTTTCTTTTGCAAAATACACCAGTTGGGTGAAGATCACAAATGGGAATGGATCTCTTTCTTTGGATCATATTTGCAGCATTAATCCTCTTCCATTGTCACAGTTCAGATCAAATACCATTTCATTCATCCTGCCTTGTGTATCAGTGCCTCTCGATGTTAAAAACTATAGTTAGATAGTGTGAGATCTCACATTGGTTGGAGAGGAGAACGAAACATTCTGATATGAACCAAGAGACATCATTCATACAATATACTTCAATGAAGATGTGAAGAAAATGTTGTCAAAATTATCAAAAGAGGTTGCAATTCATGTCACATTGAAGAGGAATGAAGTTTGATGGTTATAAAGTTTGGGTGGGTTACAATTTAGAGTAATTTAGAGTTATTGTATTTTAAGACATTTTATTTACTTTTTAGGTTACATTTACATAATGGCTAATTATGGTCATTAAGTATGAATGTTACAACTTTTGGAATGCTTTCATTTTGAGGCTATATAAAGCCATGTATGTTGTATTTGTAAGGAAGACTTGGAAAATATAGTAAAAGAAGCATTTGTGCTCTTCTTTAGCCAATGGCTAAGTTTCTTTGCAACTCTATGTAGTTTAGGTTGCATGTAGAATCATTCAAGCTCGATATGATCAATCTTGCTTGTGGAGTGATTCGAATCTCAAACAAGTGTTTGAGATTACTTGATCAACAAGAATCATTGAAGCTAGACATGATCGATCTTGTTTCTGGAGTGATTCGAATCTCAAACAAAATGTTCTTTGCTTGAGATATTCGATCCACAAGGTAATCCGAATCTTACTCCCCTTGTAGTTGATTCCTTATCTTATCATTTGTGCTCTTCTTTAGCCAATGGCTAAGTTTCTTTGCAACTCTATGTAGTTTAGGTTGCATGTAGAATCATTCAAGCTCGATATGATCAATCTTGCTTGTGGAGTGATTCGAATCTCAAACAAGTGTTTGAGATTACTTGATCAACAAGAATCATTGAAGCTAGACATGATCGATCTTGTTTCTGGAGTGATTCGAATCTCAAACAAAATGTTCTTTGCTTGAGATATTCGATCCACAAGGTAATCCGAATCTTACTCCCCTTGTAGTTGATTCCTTATCTTATCATTTGGTATCAGAGCTTCAGGCTCAAGATCGGATATATGTTTCCTTTGCGTTTCTTTTCAATTTGTTTTTTTCTTTTTAGTTTTTAATCGACCCAAAGTTCAAAATTCAATCTTCGCTATATTTACAATTTTGAGAGGTGAGAATGAGAGCTTCATTTGTGTAAACAGAGTGGCCTAAAAAAAAATCCTTGAGTGTTGTATACACATGAGAGATTGTTGTGAGGGCCTTTGTATTTTCATATCTTATGTTTTGCAGCAAAGTTTCACAAATAGATTCGAGGACGAATCCTCTTGAAGAAGCGGAGAATGATATGAACCAAGAGACATCATTCATACAATATACTTCAATGAAGATGTGAAGAAAATGTTGTCAAAATTATCAAAAGAGGTTGCAATTCATGTCACATTGAAGAGGAATGAAGTTTGATGGTTATAAAGTTTGGGTGGGTTACAATTTAGAGTAATTTAGAGTTATTGTATTTTAAGACATTTTATTTACTTTTTAGGTTACATTTACATAATGGCTAATTATGGTCATTAAGTATGAATGTTACAACTTTTGGAATGCTTTCATTTTGAGGCTATATAAAGCCATGTATGTTGTATTTGTAAGGAAGACTTAGAAGATATATTAAAAGAAGCATTTGTGCTTTTCTTTAGCCAATGGCTAAGTTTCTTTGCAACTCTATGTAGTTTAGGTTGCATGTAGAATCATTCAAGCTCGACATGATCAATCTTGCTTGTGGAGTGATTCGAATCTCAATCAAGTGTTCTTGTCTTGAGATATTTGATCAACTAGAATCATTGAAGCTAGAGATGATCGATCTTGCTTCTGGAGTGATTCGAATCTCAAACAAAGTGTTCTTGACTTGAGATATTCGATCAACAAGGTAATCCGAATCTTATTCCCCTTGTAGTTGATTCCTTATCTTATCACATTCCTTATAAGAGTGTGAAAACCTGTCCCTAGCAGATGCGTTTTAAAACCTTCAGGGGAAGCCCAAAAGGGAAAGCCCAAAGAGAACAATATTTACTAGTAGTGGGCTTGGGCTGTTATAAATAGTATCCGAGCCAGAGAAAGGGTCGAGCCTTTATTAAAGGGAGGCTGTTCGAGGGCTTCATATGCCTCAGGAGAGGCTCTATGGCGTACTTTGTTCGAGGGGAGGATTGTTGGGAGAAGAGTCCCACATCGGTTAATTAAGGGTTTGATCATGGGTTGATAAGCAAGGAATACATCTCCATTGGTACGAGGCCTTTTGGGGAAGCCCAAAGCAAAGCCATGAGAGCTTATGCTCAGAGTGAACAATATCATACCATTGTCGAGAGCCGTGATTCCTAACATGGTATTAGAGTCATGCCCTTAACTTAGCCATGTCAATAGAATCCTCAAATATCGAACAAAGAAGTTGTGAGTCTCGAAAGTGTAGTCAAAAGTGACTCAAGTATCAAACAAAAGGTGTACTTTGTTCGAGGCCTCCAGAGAAAGAGTCTAGCCTTGATAAAAGGGGAGGCTGTTCGAGGGCTCCATATGCCTCAGGGGAAGCTCTACAGTGTACTTTGTTCGAGGGGAGGATTGTTAGGAGAAGAGTCCCACATTGGTTAATTAAGCGTTTGATCACGGGTTTATAAGCAAGTAATACATCTCCATTGGTACGAGGCCTTTTGGGGAAACCAAAAGCAAAGCCACGAGAGCTTATACTCAAAGTGAACAATATCATACTATTATGAAGGTTCGTGATTCCTAACAAATCATCTGTGAATGAATAACGTTAGAGGAATACCACATTGGAATCCATTGGCTTAGGTCTCTACTTTCGAGTATTTTTCGAACGTTCCCATTTCCTTTCCATCTCTTTGGCTTTTTCAAACATAGCCATCCAATCCATGGAAAGAACAGGGAAAAACAAGTACATTCAATTGAAATGCAAGAATGAATGAACAGATAAAAATCAAAATCAGTATAGCCAAATGAAATCCTAATTGTCAGCATTCATAGTTATCAGTACACTTAATCTCAACACATTTTGAAGATCAAACGAGTGGATCATTTTGCATCCTTAAAATGACAAACAGAAGCACCCAAAAACAGAGATGAACAACAACTCAAAAGAAACTAAAACAAATAGACAATAATTAAAAACACGACAAAGAAAGTAAACATTAAAAAAAACCACCCGAAAAGAAAAGAGATTCCATGTCTCTTGTCTTCCCTATAGAAGCAAGGTATAGAAACAATGGAATCAAACTAACCTGGCTTCATAGTGTTGGAAGAAGACGAAGAACAAGGGAAAAAGCTTGAAAATCACATGGATTTGATGAAATAGAGATGAAAATAGAGAGTAAAAACGGCATTTCTTGAAGACCCAGATGAGGAAAAGGGGTTTAAACAACAATGGTGGAAGTAGAAGAGATTGTGGGACATTTTTGTTGGTGTTCTTGGGTTTGGAACAGGATTTGGGGCTGTTTTTGTTCGTGTTTTTTTGTGGGAGTTCCAGGGATGGGGAAGCACGCGAGGAAGGACTGGGTGAGAAAGAAGGAGAGAGTGGAAAGGAACGCAGGTCCCGAGGGAGAAAGGTGTGGGCAATGGTGAGTGCCCAAATAAAGAAGAAGAAAGAAAGAAAGAAAGAAAGAAAGGAAAAGAGTCCCCACTTCCATAGGGTCCACTGTGCGCCCAATATCCTCACCCTTCTGCTTCATTATCATTCACCATCATGCGCTCTTTTCTCTCAACACCGCCCGCGCGTCTTACACAACCGCTTCTTTTTCTTTGCTTCAAATACAAACTTTCTAATTAATTTTATATTTATTTTTTTTACCACTTTTAATTATATTTCATTTGACTATTATAACCCACAAATTGAGTCGGGACAAATCTCATCTAACCTGCACATGCTATAAATATTATCCATTTTAGTTTGTTACGTATGGTGGTCGTTAGTCTCACGGTTATAAAACGTGTCTACTAAGGAGAGGTTCTACTAAACCTTCATCAAATTCGATTGTGGAATGACTTAATTTAGAATAAGGTTTCCAAATCTTGCTTCTAGATCTTTGATTGTAGGAGGTAATCTAATTCTAGTATCTTTTGTTGATCCGAATTTTGTATAAGAGGTGTTAATTACTTTGATTCAAGGGTTTTTACTTCAACAAAAGCTTGGATCGTTGGGCTGAGGATTAGGGTTGCCTTGTCACTACCTTTGTCTAGCACAGTTGTCGTGGTCATCTTTTAGGTCTCTAGGGCGGTTTGCCAGCCTTGATATAGATTCACGTCTCTAGGTCTCTCGGTTTTGACTCATTGAGTCTAGTTTAGTCGGAAGCACTAGAGTTACTCCCTCTAATCATCTCTCATGATTCTTATGTGGTTAGACTATTGCAGAGGTTCCATCCTAAGTCATTGTTTAGCCAAACTTACGCTCACCCTCTACTCTATTATATTTCCACTACTTACGCTCTATAAAGAGAATCATACATTCAATCATCTAAAGTTAATGTACAGTAAACCATACAACCACACAAGAAGGCAGATACACAAATTCCTATCCTCACAAAAGTCAAACAACAAGGAAATAGGGACTCACACGCTACACACATTGTAGGGTATCTAATGCGAGTTTATCATGCGTGTGTCACATGCGAAGGAAGGGCATAGTCGCGAGTTATCAAGCTAGTTCAACAGGTTGGGTCAGATCATCTTTTTGATTCAGACATACGGTTACTGGTTTGAGTGTGCAGGTTTTGGGTTGGAATCGGGTTTGATCGATCTAGACGATACGTAGCTCTAGCCAAATTGTGACACGTGTCTTCCATATGCCTGAACACATTTTGCACTCTTCCGACCGCTGCATGTCCTCAACGTAACCCACATGCAATTTCCACATTCTAGATTTTCGATTATTGAGCGATTCAAAATAATTTCTTTAGGTTTTTATAACTTCTAATTCAAAACTCGAAACTATTTGGTTCATTCTTAAGAGTTGTTGATCTCTAATTCAACGTTTCAGATGTAATTTTCTTATAATTTTTAGGCAACTACATATCATAATAAACGCGTTCAAACTTTAGGGTTTATTCATTCTTATCGAAATTTAAGGTGTCCCAAAACTCTAATTTCTGTCTTGATTCTTGGCCAACTTTGTATATTTATTTCAAGAGGGGCCAAATTTGGTTGACTTTGACCTAAGTAGTCTAATTTTTCTTGTATATTTATTTATTTATTTCTAGGTCCGTGGAGATATTTCGGGCATTTTTTCCTGCCTTCGTGAAATTCTGCCTCTAAATCCATCGATAAAATTTCAAAAGTTTAGAAATTAAAGAAAAATTAGGAAAACTTACATGTGTCGGGCTCGAGTGTTACAAATCATTGAGCAACCTTCGATTTGGCTCACTAACTCTGATTCTCGTGCATCCAACTTTGTTTCAGTTTAGTGCATCTAGCTCTGGTTTGACTTAATCCCCTTTGATGAAAGCTTGTTTAAGGCCAATTCGGATCAGTTAAGGTCATTTTGATTTGAATCAAGTCCAATTAAAAGTTTTTCGGGCCAGTTTACCTTTTGTTTTAGCTAGTTTATGAATTTTTCTAACGGTTTGGAGGTAATCTAGAGTTAATTAAGCGGTTATAGCTTAATGAACGAGTTTTAGGATCAAATCCCATATGTTTTAAAGGTCATAGGTAAAGCTAGACTCCATTAAAGTTGAACCTAAGTGACGGTTAGCTAATGTGAGAACACAATCGCTCATTAAGATAAGCGAACTTAATATTAGTCTCCTACGGACTTAATTGGATGAATTGCTTAATGTATGAATAACATGTACGAAGGTGTTTAAATTATGAGTTATTGAAATGTATGATGCTAATGGGATATCTGTTCATTTTTTCTGATTTTAGCTGTATGATTGTTTGCAAGCCCATAGTCAGACCTAGAAAGTATAATATTGTGCATGTGCATGAGTCGTGTGAAGGCACAAAACCGATCATGAACTTATGTCTCATTATTCATGTTGAGTATTTGCATGTGCTTGCAATTCTTGACCTCAATAAGTGTTTTTTAGTCATCTATCCACGTGATCACTTTCATTCATATGTGGTCTTAGTTCATTCATGTACCCTTTCTTCACTCGAGTGTCACATGCTCATTAGCTTTCACCTAGGTTCATCCGTCCCAAAACCACATTTTATTCAGAGAGGTACAATTATAATACCATTTTGTAGCGCTCCCACGTCTAGGATTGAGATTAAGATTCAAAATTCGGATCCGAAACCTAATAAAGATGTAGAGGAATGTTATGACCATTAGGTGCCGAATCTGGATTTCAAATTCTAATCCGATTCTAAAATCAATCTCGAACATTATTTATGATTTAAAATTAGAATTTTGAAGGATGAAAGCGGGAAATCTTAATCCAAAAGGTCAGACATGTCCCCAATTTGATGATTTAATTCAATAAGAAGACAAAGGGCAATAATAGAGTTGTGCAGCTGGCTTGCTTTAGAATTGGTACTGTCTTGTTTTAAAAAAAAAAATTTTGATGCTTATATTTAAATTTAATTTCTATTTCAAAAAACTATGACAATCAATTTTCCAATTTAACCATAATAATTTACGGGATAGAGAATTGAGCTAGGGCAGGAACACGGATAAAGAAATTTTTAGAAGGCTCTAATCTCGCGGGATAAACGGACATCTATAACTACACCATTATCAAACAAAATAGTTGGTAAAAAAAGGTCGGTTTACACATTTAAACTGACGCTTGTCGTATCGGCGAATTTCAAGCACTAACGCTGCTGCCTTCCTCGGCGGCCACCGCCTCCACCGACGGTGGCCCATCAAGACCGGGGAACTCTGGCGCCTTTCTGTCCTTAAACCGCCGGGCCGCCTTCCGGTCGGAGTCGCCGGAATTGGAAAACAATTTCATTTGCTTCCTCAAATCCTCAATCCCCCTTTTCAAAAGCCCATTCTCCATTTGCAAAACATCGAACTGACGCTTCACTGAAAAATAACCCAAATCCAAATCCTCATTTCCGAAACTACCCTTCTCCGATCTCGAATCCCCACTCTCCACGTGTTCGATCCCGATCTTATCCAGCAACAGCAATGGAGCCGCCCGAAACGAAATCCCACCACTCACCTTCATCCCCTCCGCCGCTGGGACCTTAAGCCCCCATCGGAACCTCACCGCCGCACAACTCAGAATCGGAACCGCCGTACTAGCAGCCACTTCCAAACCAGAAACCGCCTTCGAAACAGCACTTCTAACATCCACAGATTCCTCCTCCGATTTCAGAACCTTCTGGAACATCATCGAGGAGGACTGCGATTTCTTGATCGAGAAATCGCCGAGTTTCGGCTTGAAATGGAGCATGAAGGAGGGGTTTCCACGGCCGATTAGGTCGAATTCGGCGCTCATGAGCATAGGCGAAGAGATCGGGGAGCCGAAGGAGCCGATTCCAGTTTTGACGATTACTGAGAAGGGATTTGAAGAATCGTTAGGGCGATAAGAGAGTTTGAAGGAGGGGCCGGATTCGAAGAGGGTTGAGAGGTTGAGAGAGAGGTCTTTGGCGGTGCCGGCGGCTATGGCGGATTGGAAAGGGAGGCCAAGAATGCTGAGAGGGACTTTGGCTCTCAATAATGGCTTCTGATCTTCGCGGAATTTCAGAGATGCTTTCATCTTCCTTCTCTGAAAACCCTAATTTGGAATTGAAATTGAAAGAAATTAGAGAGGGAATGGATTTTTGTAATTGAGGAATTGGGGATTTGAAATTTGAACGAAGAAAAACGCTTTGTAGCGGAGATTTCGCTGAATTTTATCTACGTTTATGGAGTTGGGGGCTTTAGGGGCTGCGGGGCCCGCTTCCCATTACTCAACGAAGGTTTTCCATTGTTCGGTCCCTTCTGGAATATGGGATCATTTTATTACCGTACCCGAGATACCAATTTCCAACCTTCACTCAATTGTCTGAACCATAGTGGCTAAAATTTGAGTCTGAGTTCTGGGCTGGCTACATCGGGGAGGGGTAGAAGCAATGGATTGAGTGTATGGATTCAATTTCTTCTTGTCCTTAGGATCATCTCTCCTAGTCTTGATCTAGTCAGTCCTCTTGGAATTATCTCGAGCTACTTACTCCCTCTCTTCTTTGAGTCAAGCTACTTCCTCTCGATACTTCGTTTCCCTTCGTCAATTCATTTGTTTAGGGTTAGAGCGAAAGCCCATGCAGTCTTTCATCTGTATCTGAAGGGGAGAGGCTTGTTGATAACGAACAAAATTCTTTGTCCAGTTCAAATTGGCTGCCTGAATTTCATTCTTCCTCTTCACAAAAATTTTCATTTATTTTTACGAGTGTGGAGATCAACAACATCTTGAATTTTAGTGCGGAGATTGAACCTTGTTTTTATTTCTTTGATGTTATTCAGCAACATCTTTGATCATATCAATGATTTGACATGACAATTGGGTTCGATCTCGTTTTGATAAAAATTGGATCTACGAACTCATATCACAAATGCAAACACATGATTTCTACTTGAGGAAGAGTTAGATCAGATTTGTCATGAGGATTAAGATCAAGAGAAAGAAATTTTCTTTCGGAATAAATTACTTAGATGATCTTAGTTTACAAATCTAAATACAAGAAAGTTTCTCGTGACATTTA